CACCACTGCTACTACTATCATTACTATTGTGGTGGTGGTGGTGGTGGTGGTGGTGGTGGTGGTGGTGGTGGTGGAGATTTAATCCCTCACCTAAAGTCCTGTCATTACCATTAACATTTCAAATTCTGAGACACCGAGAGCAACAATTGGGACGGGTTGAAGACAAGAGAGAAGCGCTCTCAGAGCTCCAGTCGACGTGGAGGAAACAACGATTTCGTTGTCAAACGTCCCATCTGGCAGTATTGGGGTCGGGCTCAAATCCCAGGTCTTCTGGATCCCCCCAGCCACGAGCCCTACATTCCCATGCAAGTCTTTGGACCCGCCACTCTCGCCAACTCTCAGCGTGAGTTCTTCCTTGAAGCTCTTCCCAAGCATTTGCCCACCCTTCGTAGTTGCTGCAAACACCGCGCCCATGTCCATACGGACACTTACGAATGTCTTCCATTCATTGTTCGCCTACAGCCAACAATGAGTGGCCTGCAGCTCATTTCGCAGTAGTCACGAGCCACCCCACGGACAATGGAATTGCGCAAAATGATTCAACACGTGTCTACGAGGCCATGCGTCAAATTGAGACGACATCTTCAGCGCCCAAGTCAGCTGATGGCTTGTGAGTCCCTTCAAGTCCATGTGTCAGCGTGTGCATGGACGCGCTTCAGAGACATTTTGGTGCTCCCTATGCCAACTTATAAGTGCTGCCATCTCTGCTCATTTCAGCGTCGGTGGAAGCCAACCGAGTGCAAACGAAGACGGGGACTTTCCTAAAAAAGCATGGAATGGGGAAGAGAGTGGATTGAAAGGCCTCTCACTGCAAGAATTGCACCGCCGGAGGTTGTGGAGTCATCGCGAAGAGGCCAAAACTAGCAGTTCTTCATTTAACCTTAACCGACGCCGGTCCATTACTACATCAGTTAGGAGCCAATGAGGCGATTCGATGACTGCTTGCGACGCGTCCTCTTCGTATGCTCCATGTCTACGCTTTCGATTAATCCATCGCCACGTCGACACACCCTTTCTCACATAGCCAAACATACACACATCTCAAATGTTCCCCTTTACATGTCGGGGGTTTCTTAACACGCCATATTTTCGTATACTCCTCCACACACAAAAAATCTGCACCACAAAATCTGTTTAGGGCTTAACGTCAAGAAAAACGAAGCTAGTGTTGTTACCCGTGCCTTCCTGATCCCCGAAAGCTTTCTTTTAGTGCTTGAAGTGTGGAATACTGTCCTCTGCATTACCAAGGACCTGCAACCGTGTCCAGTAAAAAAGGTTTGCAATGCAATAACGTTAACCGCTATACACGGAGGTGGAAACTACGCACGTTTTCGCCACATCCACACCCAAAAATTTGTCACCCAGAGTCCAAAAATGATCCCCTGCCATCATTGTTGATGTAACGCCAATGTAACTATAGCCGCATCAAAGTATACGACTTTGTCTTTAAAACTTAAATCTTCAAAAACGAATCAATGGAGAAGCTCCTCACAATATCATTTCAAGTAGCAGTAAACCCTAAAAAAGAACAGGCAAATTTGTGCGACAAAGAAACCACCTCTTTGCACTAAGTGACACTGCTGTCCACCTCAGAAGGGTGACCTTCGTTTGCGCTAAGCGCCAGCTTGGACTTATCGTGCATGCAGTTTGGCGAAGTCGTTGAACCTAAAAAATGCTGTTACTTACCAATTCTCTTGTGACCAAGATGCTTTTCATTCCCTATCTGCATATGATGCGGAGTGAAATGATAAATACGTGCTTACGTGTTGACTTAGTACCGGTAGCCCTGGTGGTGCGGGGAAAGGAAGGCAAACGAAATAAAAGTCGACGATTCGAGACCAGTGGAAGCGGAAGGTGAGTTGAGGGTTCACAGACTCTCATGACTTTCTCAACTCTTGCAATGGTTCAGCAGATACTTTGGGAGACAGCTAAATGTTGTCATGCGTGTTGTAGAGGTCGAGGCATGAGTAAAGCAATATTACGGAGTGCAAAAGCGGAGCAAACGAGGCCGATATGGTGAACTGACTCTGCGTATGGGAGAGGGCAAGAAATTGAGCTGCAACTCTGTTTAGATTAGTGCATCCCATCGGGTCAGTGTCGATTCTTAGTAGGTGCTTTTTAGCAGCAATTTTACTTCCTTGTGCACGTGCGTTGTGATGGTGCGACGTGCCTATTTGTGTCCACTTCTTCTTTGTTGTAAGGTGGGGTGTATAGCACTGGTGGTGGTGGTGGTGGTGGTGGTGGTGATGGTGGTGGTGGTGGTGATGGTGGTTAGATGCAGCGCTACGTCACTGTTCAGTCCTTAAAAA